GCAGAACAATTAGAAGTTTTAAAATTTTAGAGTTTTCTAAACAATCATGTTGTGTATTTAACAAAATCAATTTGTCAAAAATATATAAAAATAAGATTACCTTATATTATTAATCAAAATAAGAACAATATCTTAAGTATACGATCAATGTACAATAAGTTAATTTTATTCAAAGGTCATTGAATATTTATTATATTACTAAGTAAAACTGATTTCATTATCAATAAGTTTGGTATTTATTTTATTATTTAACTCAAAATTCTTCTATTGCTTTACAGATATACAGGGTATCCCAGAACTAGTATTAGGCCTTGAAATGGGGAGGAGCTGTGGTGATTTTAAACAAATGATTTTTCCTTTGCAAAAAAGTTGTCCGAGGCGTGGTTGTCGAGTTATTAACAAAAATTATCGACCAACCAGAGCGTTCGTGTACAAGGCGGACAGGAGCGCGATAACCGCCTCGTGCGTTGCCGCGTCCGTATGCCACGCTCGTGACGAAAACAGGATTAAGTCAAAACTTACATGCAAGAGTAACTAAGAAATTGATTAAATATCAGAGAAAAGAAAGCAATTAGTCGTTTGTTATGTTCACTGAATAGATGCAACATATTCAATGAGATAACTAACAACTTCATAAATTACACAGTAGGTAAAGCATAAAAAATGGGAAAAGAATTAGAGTTGAAATTAGTCATTCCTCTTTAAGTTTACCTGCTTCTAAAAGAATTTCAGTGGGTCAGCGTGCCGAAGCCTGACACTCGAAACTAAAACACATGGCCATATCTGTCAGTGACCTGCTCTAAACATCACTGCTGCCCATGTCTTTTATCTTCAAGTACCGGGTTTCGGCACATTGACCTAGTGACGTTCTTCTAGGAGCAGGAGATGACTTTAAAGACGAACGAATAAGTTCAACTCTAATTCTCTTCTCATTTTTTTATAATTTTAGCTACTCTATAATTTATAAAGGTGTTAGTTATTTCATTGAGTATAATACATTTATTG